GAGATGGGGGTCATTGGCCTAAAAATTATACTACAATAATGCTACAAATAGATTAGGATATTATACAGTAGATAATTATTTTAGTAGCAGAAAATTTAACATTTCCATGTTATTTTAATGCTACTACTTATTATTATTATTATTATTATTATTCTAATAATAATAGTAACAATAATAATAATAGTAATAATAATAGTAATAATAATAGTAATAATAATAATAATAATAAATACATATCAATTCTGTCAGCAACTACACAAAATTTAACAATATTAGTACATTCTATATTTAAAACTTGAAATGGTGAGGAGGTGGTCTCCGAACTAGTGTGGTCTCCGAACTAGTGTGGTCTCCGAACTAGTGTGGTCTCCGAACTAGTTTGGTCTCCGAACTAGTTTGATCTCGACTGAAATAGATCTTCAGCAGCATTACATAACTATCTCTATACTACGTATATTTATTTCTCCGTATATACGTACGTATACGAGAAAGTAAAACTAATGTGGTGATACGGAGAACGGCGATAGCATTATCTGACGAAACTCAGTCGGGGGCACAAGAGAACCACCTGCTTCGCATTGTCTACCGCATGTTTCTGGCTCCCTGCAGCCGCCAAAAACACATACCTACGTCTAGGGGCAGCGGCGCGCAATGGGAGATGGGGCATAATATTTTGCCACATTTCACTTTACGACGCGCCTATTCATCCGATTTGGACGATTGATACGGCGTTGGATTCAGGAAGCACTTCGTCATCGCGCTATACACCCACATTTTTTAATTTCTTCCCGCAACTATTCCAAACAAAAATTCTAACTCATTTTTCAATGTTTCCCCCACATGAGCTTCGTAGCGTAAAGTCTATATTACATATGAATCAAATAGCGTTTATTGATTGAAAATCGAACCATTTGTTAAAATTCATCGAAAATGTACATTCCCCTATGACAACGCTGCGTTCTATTGACTTTTCTTATAATTATTTTTCAGTACATTTAGCCTTAATATCTCTGGTTATTGGTATTCGTCAAATAGTAGTTAAAACGCTTAACCACGGGGAGTCGTCAGTTAAAAAAATATCAAGTACAAAGTAAATCCATAAGAAAGTAAGGAACAATAGAGATTCGTGTGTTTAACCGAATTGGGTAGATGGAACATTAAAGAATTTCCTGTCCGTGATCCTCAGTACCTAGCCTTTTCCATCGCAGCTGCGATGGTTAGGACAGGTGGTACGGACAGGTGGTCGTAATGACGAATTGAAATATGATAAAGCAATGCGAGCCAGTGTGAAATATGGGAACCTCTAAAAAAACCTGCTGCGAACTCGTGAGACATTTGAGTTGTCGTCTTGTGGCACGAATTTTGTAAAGAGTTTTCTCAGAAAAGAGTGTCCTTCATCCACAGTATGTATAATTCCAGTACTGGTAAACAATTTAGCACTTTAAACCGTAACATCTACACGAATTAGAATTATGCAGTCCCAATGGTGATGAATACATTAAATATCATTGATATAATTAATATTAAATTCCTTTTTTATGCTCAGTATAGTCTCTAATTGCATAGACAGTTAGGCAGTAGAAGAGTTTACTAGCCTCTTAAACTTTTGAATCGGTTTTAATCGTTTAATGTCATTTAGCAATGTGTTGTAAAATAATGTACATGAATAGTATGTGAAATTTTTGCAATGAGCTGGTGATGCTGACACCTGATGAATATGATTACTGAGTCGACTGTTATAGACTTAGGCATGTGCTAAAATAACATTCCCACCCTACAATGTCAGAAATTAATTTAATATATTGTGGATTATTATATGATTGTACATTATTTAAATGTACGAAGTACATTAAAAGGATATTACTATTTTTGTACATTAAAATTAATGATTACTTTTAAATCAATGTAGATTCAATGCACATCAGTACATGAAACTTAATACACCATTTACATTAAAGAGAGATTAATATAATTCGACATTAAATTCAATGTTTAAATTAAAATTCACACAGAATTGATTTACAATTGTGGAACACATTGAACATAGATACTTTTTAAAAACGTATTACTATTCCTTCCATATTTAAACTAATGTATAATAAATTTAAAATACCCCAACATGTACATTGAAATTTAATTTTTAAAATTCGGATTTCATTCAAATTTATAACTAATAGATAATGAAATTCTACCGGCTAACATAGCACGTTAATTCTGTAGTTTACAAGTGTTTCGAATTAAGCGAAAATACTCGGGATCTTAACTTATAACACGATGCCGTTAATTCAAATTATGTTCCACAAATGTCACTTCTCCGTTAAGCAATGAAATAAATTTCCCCTCAGCGAATGGGGGATTAAGTCGTCCATTACCCATCACATTTCCCAAAATGTCTTCAGAATAAGCGTATTTACTTTCTACACATTATTTAACTGAGTCGAAACTCCGTCAGCAAACCGTTCGCGTTGCGTTGCAACTCCCTAAACAACGTTGCATTTTCATATACCACCATTGCTCCCATTAACAGCTGATGTTGCGAAAATTCAAAATAAAATCATGAATTTATATTGCATTAGTTTTATTTTTTATAGACTTGATTCATATTGATATAACAGAAAATTGTTATGTTTCAAAAAAGCGTTGGCTACTTTGTCTAGTTCTTTAAGCTTCATATTATATTCTGTACAATGTATCATTTTTCTACAAAAACGTTTAGTTTAATATTGAATTTGAACGTTCAGTATTCACATTTGAAAAACTTGATACATGGTAACTTGTACCTTCTTTTCGGCCTGCGGGCTTCCCAATGCTTTATTTTGGGAGCATAAAGAGGCTTAGGGAAATCCGGACCCTTTCCCAGAACATGGTACCTTAAAGGCATTAACACAAAGGGTGACAGCAGCCTGCTGATTTCTGGAAACGGAAAGACTGGCTGTCCTGTGGGAACACAGGTACTCCGTTTCCGCAAAATTAATTCGGATTGTGAAACTCTTGTAGTCTAGTGTTTTTACGTGGTAGAGTAATAGAGTTGTTCAAATTCTAATCCGAGTGCAAAATCAAAGAAACGTCGTAACTTTCTAAAATGAAAACTTGTGCAACAGTTGAATGTTGTTCTTCACTTCCTGTTCTCATTACAGCAGTTTCCTATAGCGGTTGGCGGTTAACATCGAGAGAAGCTGAAGCAATTCAGACATATTGGATTTGTGAAGATAAAAGTCCAATTAATAATAATTAGTATTATTTATTTAATATTTTCATGAAATGTGAATCTTATTAATCTATTGATGTATGTGCTGCAGATTTCATGCGACTGTTTAAATATAAAAATGGACCAAATTAATTACGTCAAAGAACTGAAGATCAGGAAATGAGCGTTACATAGTAAGCCCAAAGTAAATGACTGTGATTCTGTAAACAGATTCCAGTAATTTGTGAAGATGTTATTGAAGGTGCGGTAATTGCCAGCTATTAAGTTTTTCGATATGCCTAATCTGCAAAATTAGGACCAACCCTCATATTCATACAAAAGTAAGTTGGAGTTGTATTACTATTACGCACTAAAGTAATTTTTTGTAAAATTATTACTATCGATATAACATTTGAGAAAAGAGTTACATTACAACCTTGAGAATTTGTAATAAATTGGCAATTGGTCTTGGT